ATCCTTACCTTGTAATCTTGGAGTGCCAGTTATCTTTATCACTGTCATAGTCATCAGTTGAAAATGTCGGTGGTCTAGCCGTCCGTGTTCTATAGGATACAAAACCAAATAAGTTAAATTCGTGTTGCCAAATTGAATTCATTTCTGTCTTACAGGAATAATTAGTGCAGACTTTAGGGTCCATATTTAAAATTAAAATCACTCCGGAGACATTTAGTACTTACTCGACTTTTTCCATTGTGGCATAAAAAATACATGTATTTCCGACGTATTTTCTTCTTCCTTTTAATAGCTTGCTACTCCCAAAGCATAGGTTTCTTTCGTTCAGCCTTAAGCGGAATGCCAGACACCTTAACTAAAAGAAACCTCTGTTCACACAGGTATTTGACGTAGTTTTGCCGCATTATTACTTGGGAAGCTGATGGATGTATATTTTCGGAGGTGCTATTATATTAGCTTACTGTTTCTTGGGTTTATGTTTTTTCTTTGTCGGGTGAGTCTAGGATCTCTATCACCTCCACTGGGGCGGATGATGTACCTCCGACCTAGAGAAAAACGTGGACTATAAAATTGCACTAAAATCATGCTAGAATAGAATCACGTGTTGCTGCTTTATGTGCATATTTTGCCTACGCATGACCTACCCGATCATGCTTGAAACTACCAAGACTAACGCTGGGCTCTCCGGGGTTGTAATCTTCATCATCACATGATTCAAAGGTATGAGGAAAATGACGACGGATTTTTCTCTTGGTATCCTTTCATCCAAAAGCAAAAAAAGGGGGAAAAAATAACATAGATATATATACGTTAGTTAGCTCCAGTGAGTTAACTCAAGTCAGTTGGTAGAGCGTCTGCCTGGTGAACGGGATATTGAAATTTCAAAATCTGACACTCTGGGTCTTAAATACTTTATTAGATAGTTCTTCCTTCACCCTGGAAATGGTTGGACTTTCGACTTCTTCAAGGATACGGATGTTAAACCATATCTCCCCACTGCCGGATCCAGACCTTGAGATAAGGGGGAGGTGGGCGGTTATCCAAACCCTGAGCTAAGGGGGGAGGGGCACGGTCTCAAAAAAGAATTTTTTTCGGCCCTCCGGGCCTCACTTTAGTCTGAAAATAAGGAGGCAGGTCCAGGCCCCCGGTTCCTCTCCCCTTGATCCGCCACTACTCCCGTCTCTCGGATCGAAACCGAGGAAAGTTAAAAATCCTCGTGGCACTTCAAAGATTATCTTCTATACACGAACCTGCAGATAGTTAAACTACCCAACGAACAGGTTACCCACCCTGCAAAAGGCGATTGTCGATTATAACGATTTTGGCCCCTATCTAATGCTCTACGTGATCATATACAGTATGGATATTTGCGGTATGCAAGTGGAACATTTTTATAATATCTGTTCTTTCGAAAAGCATTTCACTACTTACAGAAAGGCAGATAGATCAATTTGTATAACCGATTCTTAATTACCTTAAGCTAATTGAAGGAACCCTTGAATCCAAGGGTTGGCTGCAGTAAATCAGACGTTTCATCAGATGAGAAATCTGAACTTCTTGATTCCTCCTTTTATTCACAACATTGACTAACAATAGACGACTGTTTAACTGTGACAATAGACGGATCGAAACGCACCAATCACTGATTACGAGTCTTCACAGCCAATAACATCACGGCTTAACTGAAAAACGATCAATAACATCGCGACGTAATTGACCAATCAGATCAATAACCAGAGTATAATACCATTAACTGACGTGATACAACTCACTTTGACTCTGAAAATGACTACCGCACAGGTTGTCGAAACGTCAGTCACTGTCAGCAACAACAGTCCTATTCAGGAAGGACTACGTTCACCCGGACGATCAAACTCAGCCTACTTTTGAAATGACTTCTGGGCTCAAACCTTTCACAGATTGCCAGAATAATTAAAAAACAACAAACATGCAATTATAATCTACAATGGGACTCCTACAATACTAGTACTACTGATGGCCGTGTAACTTAAACAGCAACGTCAAACAGATTCAAACGATATTTTTTTATAGAATCTGGTGGAGTACGCTTAACCTGGCTTAATGCGCTTAACCCTTTCAATAAGATTTTTCACAATAAATAAATAAAGCAGTGCTATTCTTACGAAGTGTTATGAGTAGAGAATAACTCGGTCCCTTCAATTGATAAACTGAGATTTCTGGGATCTCTGTGCGCATCAAAGAAACCTCTTAATCCCTTCAGAATAAAGATTCATTGTTATCTTTGATTCACCTTGATCTGAGTGATCTTCGATTATTAAACCTGATCCGGATCATTCCAAAGGAAAGGACCGATCAGCAACGTCAAACAGATTCAAACGATTTTTTTTATAGAATCTGTTGGAGGACGCTTAACCTGGCTTAATGCGCTTAACTCTTTCAATGAGATTTTCACAGTAAATAAATAGAGCGGTGCTATGCTTTACGAAGTTTTATGAGTAGAGAATATGCATTATCGAATCCTTTCCTGAGCACAAAACAATTATGACCTGCTATTACACGCTCTTTGTTTCAAAGCGTGCCGCCTCGCGGGCGGCGCGTGCACCAAACCGGATGGTGCACAATCTTTATTAATTTCGCATTGTTTGTTCAAGACATGTTAGAAGTTCATTCTGTTTTTGAGACAATGGTAAGGTCATTCGATTTCCCTATTGTTTACGAATTTGCATGACAAATCCATCGTGGATAACGATTCCACAATGAAAGCTTTCAGCGTTTCTATCCAAGTATGACGACTAAATATAAAGTGGAAAGTAGCACGACTTTTGAAACGGGGTTTACTGGGCGCTCACAAACTGTATTTCCCTCAATTCTCGGTAGTCAACCACGAACATTTAAGGGAAATTTTAGTAGATGTACACCAACCTCTTTTATTTCATGTAGATTAGTTTGCAACTTAAGCGTATAGCTGTCGTATTTGCACTTCGGAATGTTTCATTGTTTTTAAGCTAGATAAAAATGAACAAATCAAACAAAAAAGACTAAAAAAAAGAAAAAACATTGTAGCACAATCGTAAAGCGTAAAGAGGTATAACTATTTACCTACTGTCTTCGCCCAGGCCTACTGGGAGTACTTTACCAGTTACAACGGGAGGGAAAATACGCAATTGCTGTAAAATAACCCACCATTTGCTTCACAACTGAATCTGAAATAGAAGTGGCGAATGGACTTGAAAAGAGTTATTCGACCTTTATCTTTAAAGCTCTGTCTGATCTCGATGTGATCTGCACATTCAAAATTTTTGACGTTTTCCTGGAGGTTTTTAGTTAAACTAAGGAAGTTGTTTCGACTCCCGCAAGCTTTGTTTATTTCGATATGCGCGCGGATGTAAATCTCGCGGCTAGTGCGGTCGAAATAACTTAGATACCTCTCCAAAAATAATAGAAAAAAGACGGCGCCTTTGAGTCTGAGTGCATTTAAAATGGGTTTTTTTGGTTGCTAGCGTGTTTAAAGCCTTATTTTAAAATTTTGTTATTACATAAACTAAGGTTTATGATTGTTTCGAATTGTGAAGTTACTATCTCGAAATTGAGACTTGTTTCTTCCCTCATCTCAATATTTTAACGCGATTTGATCGCAGAATATTTATCAAAAGAGACAACTGCCGAAGTTAATGCTTACGGGAAAGATCTATTGTTTTCGCTCAGTTGCTTTACTTTCGGCACATACATGTATGAAATGCGACGTTTAAACCGTGTCTTGGATTTATGGCCGATTGAAGTGGGATGTTTTTACCAACATGAACGAAGATTCATCATTAAAGAGCTGCAATTACCGTTGTCCATTGGTGAATCCTTTCAAGGGCATAAGAGAGTGATGACCTGCTTTTAACCCCCTCCTTCTTTCAAAGCATGCCGCCTTGTGCACCAAACCTAATCAAAATATATGAAAACTGCATTCTGCCAGGGGACTATTCCAAGATAAATCGCGTTCCCGAGTATATATTGTCACAAGTATCATTATAAATATCAATGTTACAATCTCTTTAAAACAATAATCAACGATACAAAAGAAACTTGACGTTTCCGCTACCGCTATTACCATGACCTTGGCGCGTCATTGAACTGCATTTAAAGGGGCTGTGTCATGGCTAAATTGTTTTGTAAAAAAGAAATGATTACGCGATTTTATACGCAAATGACTTTTTTAAAAATAACAAAATCACAGCCTCGTGTCAAACTTTGCTACACTGCTCTTTTGAATTTCTTGATTTAAGCGCTAGATTTTGCGATATAATTTCAATTGGTAATTTAAATTATAATTTAGATTATCAGTTCGCTGCTCACATCTAAAGTGACTGATGCAATCTGACACACTCCCTCTTAACTTCGTAGATAAATGTTAGGATACCTACGTTCTAGGTGTTTGAGTATCAATTAAGTCGAAAGCGTTTTCTTAAGTAGGTTCTTTCTTGCCCTGACAGAAATAAAAAAGAAGGATTTATAGGGTGTTTTATACACAAGCTCTATCAATAAATAGCTTAGCCCTAAGGTCACGACTAACCTTTGATTGCATGCCTTTTTGCGGCAGTAGACTGTGAAGTCTTTAACCGTGATATAGTCTGCTACATAGTCAGAGGAGACTGGTTAGGAAACCCGGCAAACATCAAAGTTGAGAACAATGGTGCTGTAGGTTATGTTGGAAGCTCTCTAGCGATGCACAATCCTTTGTTTTCTGTTCACAAATTATGACTGAATAAATTAATGCAATGTTTCTGTTAGTCAATAACTTCAAAATAATAGGAATGCTATTGAACGTTGTGCACGGTCAGGTCCAAACCCATAACAAAGGGTTTCCCAACCATTACACTTCATTTAACTGTGTCTGCTATAAATGGAAGCTCCTGTGTTCGTTTTCGGTATTAATAGCGGATGCTGCAGCGTAACTTTGTCTACTGACCATTAGAGAATTTACCGTGTAACACATTTCCGAAGTTTTTTTTTTAAGGACTAAAGAAATTATGACTGCGTTAATAACAACTGTGTTCAAGGCAACTATCAGTTTTCTTGTGCAAAAAGGTCGAGCGGCGACAGCAGAGAAGCTTGAAGAAGGTGACGTTATAAATCAGAAATTCCGTCGCTTGATCGTGCGTGAGATTGACGACCTAAAATCCAAATTAGACGGTCTTGCAAAGAAGGATCTGTTATCAAGCGTCATTTCCTTAGCTGTAGGCATCGAGTACCTATATGATGTGTTTGAAAAGTCGAAGTCGGGATTCAAGTATGAAGGCAAAGCTGGAAAGCAAAAGGGACTCCGAATGGATGATTCAACCAAGAAGGCCCTAGAGAACGCAAAGAAGAGGGTTGAAGATGCTCATGAAAAAGCAAGAGATGCCTTCGCCTACGTCTATGGTGTGTTTGACAAGTCAAAGTCGGGATTCGAGGACGAAGGCAAAGCTGGAAAACAAAAGGGACTTGGAATGGATGATTCAACCAAGAAGGCCCTAGAAAACGCAAAGAAGAGGTTTGAAGATGCTCGTGAAAAAGCAAGAGATGCCTTCGCCAATGAAGCGCTGAATTTGAACGATCGCTTGCTAGCCATGGAGATTCGAGTTATGGCAACAATACTGCAGACATTTGACAACGACAAGGAGGCTATACCAGCATGTAAAGTATGCATTGAAGAACTGCACTCTCTGACCGCTGTCAAGGAATGTTTCACTGTCGAGCTCGGCAAGGCAGGGTTCTCGACCCGGTTTAGTAAAGATGAACGTGAGAAAATAATCTCTGCAATATGCCAACTGAATCGATTTATTTACGATTTCACCCTTATGGTGGGGTTTGGCGTAAAGGAATGGCCTTGTGTTGACACGGGCAAAGGGAAAATTGACCCGATCCGTGACGAAAGACTTACAAAACTGCTCGGAAAACAAGGCATGAAACACTGTTTCATCACACCGTGGTCATTTGGTCAGGATGGCGAAAAGGAACGCCAGCTAAAAAGCCCCGTGGGTATCGCTACGAATCCGCTAGAGCATTTCATTGTGGCGGACGATGGGGATAAATTGATCAAAGTCTTTGACAGTAATGGGAACTTCCAACAGTATGTCAATATCCATGCTAACAGTGCCAGAGAAGAGTTGTACATTCTCGATATCGCTGCTGACGAAGACAACAATTTTTATGTACTGGTGGGACTGAAGAAGCTCGTGACTAAAGATTTTGAGCTGGAAGTCCATATATTCAGTGCAGCAAATTCACTGCTTCGCAAATTTCCTGTGAAAAAAGGGCCTTGGGGACAGGGCAGGAAATTGGCAATTTGCAGCGGTAAAGTCCTGGTATTAAGAGGATCTGGATCGGGAGATGTGGTTGAAGTCTACAGGCGTGATGGGAAACTAGTCCGTAGCTTTGGCGGGGGATTCTTCAAAAATGCAGGAGATATGGCAGCTATCAATGACCGCGTTATAGTGGTGGACACCGGTAATGGCAGCGTCCACATTTTCACTCTGAAGGGAAAACATGAAGCCAAAGTTTCTGTCGACATCGAGGAATATCACTATTTCAGAGCTGCCCTCCATCCTACAAGCAATTATTTCATCTTGGCTGGCTTTGAACGATTGACCGCATATCCAAGTATGACAGTTTTTTCTACCACTGGAGAATTTGTACGGAGGATCCAATTGAGTAAAGAAAAGACTAAGTTTTTGGGAGGTATGGCGGTAACCAAGAAGGGTCAAGTTGCTCTAGTAGTTGGAGGGGAGAGTGAGACTTGTAGGGTGAGTTTGATTGCTCTGTAAACAAGAATGTTTAGTTCTATCACATCTGAGTTCTAAAGGTTTTTTTGCCACTATTAAATGATCGAAAGTGCAGGGTCGTTCGAGCTTATCTTTCAGAGAGTTCAGTCAATCAATTTCCTACTTGAAATTCTTGTCGGAAACCGCACAAGATAATGGCGTTCATGTAAGAATTAATAAAAAACAACCTTGCTTTTGGGCTTGCGCCCGAAACCTTGGCTTCGTTTCTTTCTTGTGGCCAAATTACCTTATTAGGGAGCCTTAGCGTGTACGACGGCGACGGTAGCGATAAGGTCACTTTTTAAATTCGCGTTTTTTTCAATCTTTGTAGCGTTATTCCAATTCGCTAAAAATGGCAATTGTAGGGGAATTTTCCTAGAGTTGATATCTAAGGAACCGCACTCAGCTTAAAAAGATCAATTATTTATGCCTAATATCTAAACAAGTTTTTATCAACCAAGTTTTTATCAAACATAGTTAATTAAAGTAGAATGGTTGGGAAATGCTTTGTTATATGTTTTTGTTTGCTTTTTAGGACCTGTCCGTGCACAACGTTCAATAGCATTGCTATCATTTTGAACATACTGACCAATAGAGACAATGCATTAATTTATTCAGTCACAATTTGTGAACAAAAAACAAAGGATTGTGCACGGTCAGGGAGCTTCCAATATAAACTACAACACCGTTGTTTTCAACTTTGATGTTTCCCTGCTTTCCTAACCAGTCTCCTCTTCTAACTATGGTTAAAAGTTTACACAACTTTTGTGTGATGCAAGTAATTTATTGTGTTGCTTTGATTACTGTCCTGTGTACTCGCAAGATGGCTTAAATTGCCTGGATCATTCTTCAGTATTTACATTTGCTAGGGACATCCGTACATTGCGTTCAAACCATTGCTATAAATGATATGTCAAGTCTGTGAGAACTGATTAATTCGCTCAAGTGTTCATTCTATGTTAGAATTATTAACCAGTGGATTGATTTGCATAACGCAATTGCAGAAGCAGAAAGCTTAGATTCCTTTAAAAGGAAATTGAAAAAAAACATTTATTTACCTGGCCCTATTTTGCGTCTGTGTTTTAGGGCGTGTTTACAAGGAGTGAGGAGGGTTACCCAAGCAAGCGGGTTAAAGTTAACTCTGGTTTACAAGCAAAATTTCCCAAGTAGGGTTACCGTCATGCGTCACCACATAAGACTAAAATAAACATTCTTTGTAACGTGCAATATTTGAACGAAATCTTGAAGATCCATTTTAAACATGTTTAATTCATGGAAAATCATGTAATTTAGAGGTCGAAAAATTGGATAACTCCGTTCAAATTTTCAAGATTACTGCTCACGCTTGACGGTCAAAGTTATCCTGGGTAGGCGAGTTACCCAAACAAAGCGTTTACAAGGCAGGTAGGGTAAACCTCTTTCTAGGGTAACCCTAGCACTCTGGTAGGGTTATTCTCCCTCCTTTTTAAACAAGTCCTTATATATCAAGAAATTCAATCGCAGTTTTTAATCTGCATTTTAACTTGTAACGTATTTTTATTTTTTATTAAGCTTGTTTTTCTCATTTATATTTGTTTGGAAGGTATCTTCGTTAGAGCTAACCTCTGATACCTGCTTTTCATATGATTAATTGATCATTGATTATGTGAATAAAGTGTGATTTACCCTTTCGAGAGGGACTATATATTATGGGGATTATCAACACAACACCAGAATAGTCAGGAAGAGTTATCGAGCTTTTTAAGTTTTGTGCAAATCTGGCCAATAGTGAACGAGATCAAGCCATTCAGAATCTCCAAAATTTACTAAGAAATGTATGGACTTCGGAAAACCTGTCCAGTAAACCAGTTTCTTGAGTGGCTGTATCCTCTTCAATATTTCCCCGATTAACACCAAACTTGGGGATTTCACAAAGCTCGGTGTGCTCTCCCTGGCGTGTGGGTAATTTCATTTTGTACGTGATCGTACCCAGTCCTCCTCGGTTTGAAAATAGGCGAAAGCTCAATGGTTGGAGCGTCCAGCCGTCTGCTAGGGGCTCGGGTTTTTTCGACCACTACTTTATATTAAACATCTAAATTGTTTGTTTTACGTTAAATTTTGTCATATCCACATGCTAAAATCTGCTATTCAAAAAACATTGATAAACGTACTTTATTATACTTTGTCAGGAAAATCCCTCATTTTCACAAAACGTCTCATTCTTCCTTTTAACAGAAATTTGCAGCTCAAACTGCTCTTTGTTCTGACCTAAAAGTGTCTCTGACGATAACTGTAACGCGTTTGAAACAAGCGGTGTCCTCCAGCGAAGTTGTACATGTAATCTGCGTTGAAAAAATAAAACGAACATTTTTATTTTATTTTTTTGTTTCTTTAGTATATGATAATAAAAAATATTGGACATTCTGAACGTGAGAATTTTTGTTAAACTGAGTTATAACTCAGTCTTGCACAGTATTTTTTTACACATTCAGCTGAATTTTTGAAAAAATGCTTCATAAGGGAAAAAAATGTCCTTGAATCTCGTACAGGGTGCCCATCTTTACTGAGACTGTTAAAAATTTGAGCCAACTAGGCCATTTTAAATGAAAATGGAGCTTTCATAAATCCTTCTTATAGATCCACTTTTCGCACTTCATCAGAATCCCTAGAAAAACACCTGTTTGTGCGTCTCTCTGCCACGGAATGTCTGTTATTTTCCCAAATCTTAATTCCGAATTAATTAGTGTTACAAAACAACAACAACAACAACACCAAATGCTTTATTTGCATGACCATAAAGGAATTACAGTATTGCAACAGCAAGTGGTAACGATTGCGCATGCGTCAAGCTTGCTTGGAAGCACTTGTTGACGAGAAATAATATCGTAATGGCCGAAAGCTGTTCTGAAGCGCTTTCCAGGGAGATTTTTTTGCATACCCAATCGACAACAGACATGTCTTATAGATTGGATACTTTGGCTAAGCCATGTTGAAGTGTCATGTATGGGAGAAGGACCATTTAG